AGGCAAAAAAATCAACTCATATGCCACAAAATTCAAATGACTTCTGCGTAGAGTTGAAACTAGTGGAAAGCTACCTGCCCTATATATTGTACGTATGCTCCTTAGAGGATTAAATAGAAAAATAGCAATGTACGTTACTATGACTGTCTCTACAACACTTGACGTTGCAATTTCTTGTGCAAAAAAGTTGAAGCCAGCAAATATTATGGCCAACAAACATCACAACAACCCCAAAAAACCAAAAGCAATATGAAAACTTTAATAAAGACAATGAATGAAATGTCAATTAACTATACAAATATGGTAACATCAGCTACAAAATTAAAGAATTGGGGACAAAAGAAAAATAATCAGTATAATCAAAAGAACCAAAGCAACTAACATCCATGAAACCCTGACATTATATATTTTAACTGCAATAAGAAAGGCCACATTGTACGTAATTGCATCTTCCAAAAAAATAACCCAACCCAGAAGAATGGGTATTACAACAAGAATACTCAACCAAAGAAAGTAAATTACTGTGATATACTGAAGAAATCGATAATAAAGATATATAGAAAAAAAAACTGTATAATATAGATCAACCACAAATCGAAAAAAAAAGAGGCCATCTATCTAGAAATCTGGTAAATAATGTGGATAACCAAAAACAAAAAAGAAAGAAAATGGTTTTCCCACTCCTGTTAAATTTCGATAAAGCAATGGCCCTGAAAAATGATATCAAAGTAAATTCTTTTGGCCCCAAAAATTTGAATAAACCTCGACGTAAAAGAGGACTATCAATTGTTGATAAACTTGAACTATATAATTAGCATATAATATTTTGACAATAAAAGCCAACACCACATTTGGCCAACTTTTACAATACCCAAATCAATGTAGGAACGTAGCAAAGATTATAAGAAGGTCCTCTAACTCAAAGAAGCAAACCTTGTAGACCTGTAAGTAACTCAACATACCATGGCTACGAAATATTATGTATATGTTGGTGAAGATCCTGTGATTGCTACGTTAGATACAGGTATAGCTGTTAGCATTATAACAAAAAGGTTGGCTGATCGATTGGGACTTAAAATTAATAAAAAATCAAAGACTGTGATAGTATAGCAACAGGAGCAAGAGAACATACCTTAGACAAGATTACCAGAGTTAACATTAATATTGC